TGAGGATGAAGCTGTAAGGCCGCAGTCCATCAGCAGTCGTGCAGTACGAAGTGAGTCTTGGCTTCATCTCTGTCTCACCCGTTGGGCTCTTCAACCCTCCTTAAATGGAGTGTTCAAGAGCTGCCTCCAATGAGTATGAAAACATTGTGTCGCCTAACACATAATCCACATCATAGGAAAGTGGTGTTTGGTCCCCAGGCAGCATGACATCATTCAGCATTTCCCTTCCTTGACCTTTGTCGGATGCCAGCTCCAAGGACCTGACGGGAGGGGTTTGCTGTCGGAGCAGCTTGTGCCCAGTCAGATATTCAATATCTAATATTTCAGAAAACTAATAAGAAACAACTGAAAGGATTAAATGGAGTTTTCTGTGCGCTGTTGTTGCTTTTTAGTCGTTAATTAGTTCTGATAGTTTTAGTTGTGTAACAGATGCTCTGCTTGAAGGGACACCAAGAACAAATCCATAGTTCCGTGACGAGGAAATCATAGTGTTCAGAAGTTTCCTCACTTTGAGCTCCCTAAATGTTAAACAGCGCTGTTTGTGGTGTCATGCACATGTCCAAGGTCTGCGCAACGCTGTAGTTTCAAGGTCTGTAGATCTGACGCTTTTAACAAGTCTTCAGTTCAGTCAGTATCAATTTCAAGGTTTTCATTCATGAACATTATGCTTGCTGTGTTTTCCAGTAATCAAGTCAAGTCAATGTAATTTGTATAATAAAATCACAAATTTGCTTCATAGGGTATTAAAATGTCTATAACGTGCAACAACCATCAAAACTAATATGGCTGCTGCAGTGTGCTAAGCAGCACAAGCTTTGGGAACATAATACAATCTGTTGAAACAAGGTGGTGCCTGTTGGGGAGACTATGTGAGCAGATGGACGCTGCTCTTCTTGGAAAGAGCTCACTGTGCTTAAGTGGGAAAGACTGGTCCATGATCAGGCTCTCCATCCATCCCCTGAAACCCTCTGAAGAAGTAACAAGAGAGATATCAACTGAAAAACAGCAGATTTGATTCTGACTCAGGCTGCTACTGGTTCTTTTTCATCACTAAAGAATTTTACTAAAGGGTTTTTTTCAAATGATCGTAAAAAAGAGAGAATAAATTCAGGATTACAACGGGATTAGAACTGATTCATATTATAAATACAATATTTCTAGAGCAGCAACATCAGTCAGTATCAATCCTACCTCCTGTCCTCTGTCCTCCTCCCTCTGCTGCGGGTGTGATTCACTGCCTGCAGGTACTGCTGGTGAAGAGAGGAGCTGGTTTGTCTCAGCCATTAACTTCGTTTACAGGAATTAACCACATTTTAAGATTTATGGCAAACTGGGATAATCAGTTAGACGACATACAAACAGCTTTCGTTTTAGCTTCGTCGTAACAATGCGCCATTAGCTCAACCAGCGCGGCGCCGGGAGGCTGCTGACAAAACAGCTGAAAATATAACTTTTCTATAAAACATGGTGGTTTGATAAAGTACTTAGTGGCTTTTACTTTTTATTGTACTTACAGCAGCGAGCATAGCTGTTTGCTGCTTGCTTTATCTGTGGCAGGCCGCCACAAATAAATGAATGTGTTGGAAACGCTGCTTTTTAATCTTTGGTCTTGGTGTGAGGTGTCAAGTATGTGTCAAGTCACGAGTCATTGGTGTTCATCAAGGAGTTTGGAAATCTGATTTTGAAATCAGATTGAAAACTTCACAGATGTTCTTCTGTCTAATCTCAAGCATGCATGCTAGGCCTGCTCGATTATTGCGAAAATCCTAACGACGATTATTTTTGATCAATATTGAGATCATGATTATTTTGCCAAACAGGGCGTGGTCTCTCCCGACTGCGTGTAGAAAATCTCTGAACCAACAAACTGCTCACGATGACACACTCCGACGTACAGGGATGGGTCATTGTTAAGATTGTAACGGTACTACTACTTTTATCGATACTGCTTTATCGATCCGGTACTTTACTCTTATCTGTAAAAAATTAAGAGCAGAATTAACATGCTCCTTTTTTTTTTATTTTCTCATATGTTCTCAGTTAACATTTTTGAGTAACAGATCGTTGGAAGCCAAAATCGTATTCGTAAATACAATAAAATTAATCGCCCAGCCCTAATGCACACACTACAAGATGTGAAAATAATGGCTCATCACTCACACTACAGGATATTATTAAGATCGTCATGTCAGAGCGAGCAATCAGGGAACAAAGCACCACCTCACGTGAGGGAAGCAGAGGTAAACAAAGTATGTATTATGCTAGCTAACGTTAGCCTCTAGGGCGAGAATGTTTATTGTTGTTTGAGAACGCCATCAGCTGCTCCGGGACACATGTAATCATAATCTTAATCATCCTAATTTTAAATATAAAACATGTTTGATATTATTGGGCCACCTTGATGAGGAAAATGAGCAGTTTGAAAGTTTTAAGACTGGATCTGTTTGAACCCCTCACATTATCAGAGAATCTGGACCGAACATTAGGGCCGACCGAGGTCCAAGGCCTTTACAGAAACACACACAGCCCGACAAGGAAACACTTACTGTACAAAGTAACAAAACACAAACGGTACACAATACAAATCCTCTAAAAACTCTGATCACAATCACATCACTGGAAAACTGTTTGAGCCCGAACTTTAAATGATTCCAGTCACGATCCATTTTGAGATTTATGCGCAATGCTGATCCCCTGAGTTACTGAGCCAGAAATCCTGAGAGGTTTCCGAGCACCTTGGGAGCCTTATTAAGTTGATAGCTTTCTGTCATTATCAATTAATGTGTTCATTACCTTTTCAATTAATCACCCGCTATATAAAAGTATCACAATCATCACTGTTTCCAGGACCCCCCAAGAGGACAGTTAAAAACTCAAGAGATATTCAGTTTACATTCATATAAAACAGAAACAAGCAGCACATGCTGACATTTGAGAAGCTGGAATCTGCATTTTTTTTGGGACATTATTGATTGATTTATTGATCATTGAAGATCCAGCAAATTTTTATTAAACTATCAAATCGAAGTCTTCGTAGCAGTGCAAGTTTAAGAAGCCACTATAACTTTTCTTGGACTTTTATTGGACCAAGTCTTCGAGAAGAGGGAGACATAATTATTGATTGCCTTGTGCACTGGATTGCATTAGATTGTGTGTGTAAGTAATTGCGTCCATATCTGCTCACGCTGTGTATTTTCCACGTATCAGCTTTCAGAAACTAATAAAAACAGCCTGAGCTGACATTTCTAGTCTGACCATTGTGCTTTTTGAGTTACTGCTAATGGCAGTTCAAAGCTGTAGGTTAAAGTCTGTGTTGAGTTTGGACTTGTTTGTATTAATCTCTGCCCCCCCCACCAGGATTTTATCTAAGCGGGACATGTCCACCCATCTTTTTTTTTTTTTTTTCCACTATTGAAATATACTCTGATTATTTTCAGTAGTTTTACAGAACTTGCTATATTGAGTGCCCCCATCCAGGTCCCCCAGAGCCCCACAACCCCCTGCTGCTACCAGCTGATGGGCGGAGAGGCAGGAAGAAAATAAAAGGAGGGGGGAAAAAAAAAAACAAGGCTTCTGGGAAAACAAACACTCGTCCTGCTTCTTGGCTTCTCTTCTTTTAACCCTTTCACTGACTCTGGCTTGAGGAAACCCTCGGACTACTGTCTAATCGAAGGTGGTTCAGTGTCATGTTGTTGAGCACAATGATGCTGCATAACTGAATGTTTATCCTGAAAGATAAATGACAAACTTCACTTTGTTTTTTTTAATAGCATTTTCTTTTTTTATTGCAAATACATATACAAAAGATTCTTTGAAGATGGTACAAATACATGGGAAGATCGCAGAAGAAAAAAAAAAACGAGTATTGGGAACATCAGTTCTTTGATACTGAGAGAAAAGGAAGTGGAGCTTACAGAGCAGAAAGAAAGGACGGTCCCTCTGGTGATCGCACAAACAACAACAACAACAAAAAAAAAAGCCAAACAGAACAACTGTAAAAATCTTGTAACTGAGATAGCATTTTCCAGTTCTTTCAGCCATAGTTTAAAGTCAAACAAAAGGAAATTCACAAATAACAAATAATCCGTACACTTTTTGTTAGATAGACCCTCAGAAAAATGCAAATACATACTTAAAAAAGACATTTAGATAAGATAAATAAACCAAAAAAAAGACGATTACAGCGTGTACCATTTTGTCTAAGTACCCCCTGGGTTTAAAATCCAAAATTAAAAAAAAAAGGGGAAATTATATGCCGTCTACATTGCAAAGAGGACAATTCATTACTTAGAAGAATAGTATGCAAAATAATTACTTTGAAATAAAATTAAAGCTAATAAATAAATAAAGTTTTCAAACTGGATTTTGACCTGGGGGGGGGGGTGAGGACACCATCATGGTGGGAGACTGCAGGGGGACACCCAAGGGGTCAAAGGTGACTTCCTGTAGCTGTCAAACACACGCTGTTAGACGGTAAGTGTAATCTCAGCTGTGGCCAGCGCTCACACACACATACACACACACACACACACACACACACACACACACACACACACACACACACACACACACAGAAAAAGTTTGAGAAAATGTAAAATCCAAGGCACGGATGGTTGGAAAGGGGCTGCAGTCTCCCCGTAACAAGACAACACAACATTATGAAACCAAGTCTCTCTCTCTCTCTGTCTCTCTCTGTTTCTCTCTCTCTCGTTCTCTGTATTGCCTAATAGCCTTTCCAATGATCATGACACAGCATAACTAAAAAAAAAAATAAAAAAATCAACAGCATAACAGCTTAAATACAAACCATACTTGCTGATTGGCACAGAAAAGAGAAAGCAACAACAAAACAAACGGAAATGCTTGTATGGAATCGAACAGAGAACCAGATACGGCACTACCGTGTGTGGTTAGTTGCTGAACTGGTTAAAATATAAAGCTTTTGGTTTTATATCTACAGGTACAAATAATTACCCTGACCCTCCCCCCACCCCCACGGGTTACAAACTGCCAGCATATGAAGAAAAAAAAAAACCCCAAAAAGAAACATACACAGTACCTACTGAAATATCAACAATCGATAAGTCCTCACAGAGGATTTTCTTAAGTCTTTTCATCTCTCTAAAAATATATATATAGTTTCTATCATGGTACAATAGCAAGGCACGATGTGAGCCAATCACAAGTCCAGCTCTCCTCTTCTTTGAATTCAAGTGTCTGATTCAGGGGAAGAACTCGCCCTGGAGTAAAGTGTTTTGGAGTGTGTGTGTGTGTGTGTGCATGTGTGTGTATGTGTGTGGGTGGGTGTATGGTTGGGTGTGTGTGTGTGTGTTGTCTCTCAGTCTGCCGGGCAGCTCAGGGTCTGGTGAGCTGGGTGTAAACCGGAGCCTGCTCCCAGTGCTGCGGGCTGCTCTGGGGGATGGAGGGCACCCCCGTGTTGTCGGCTATGGGCGTGTACATGGGCCTCTGGCTGGGGCTGCTCATGTAGCTGAAAGTCGAGTACAGCCCCGAGCCCTGCCCCGCCCCCGCGTGGCTGTAGTAGGAGGCGGTGGTGCTGCCCCCCTGGTGGTCGGAGTACTCGTACTGCTGCGCCCTGGAGATGGGCGGGTAGGAGGAAGGGGGGGGGCTGTAGTGCTGCAGGTTGAAGGGGCTGTAGGCGATGTGCTGCGGGGAGCCCTGCTGCTCGCTGTAGTGGCTCGGACTCAGCTGCTCCGTCTTGATCTGGGTCCTGTGCTGGGCCTGAGCTGCCTCTGAGCTGCCGCTGCTCCCCAGGGTGGTCAGGGTGTGCTGCTGCTGCTGCTGTCCCTGCTGGTTCTGGCTTTTAGCCATCCAGGCCGCGGCGCCTCCCGCCTGCGGGCTGACTGGGGCGCCGCTGCTGATGCTGTAGCTGCCCGTGTAGCTGACCGGCGTGGCGTTGCCAGGGACGCCCGGGTGCCCGTTAGGCGGGAGGTACTGGTCAAACTCGTTGACATCAAAGGTCTCAATGTGTGAGATGACATCGCTGCTGAGCTCACCAATGTCCACATCGCGGAAATCGATGTTGAGCTGGCGCCCACCAGGGCCATCGGGCAGAGAGCGGAGGCCCCCTTCACGCTTTAGGTCCATCTTGCCTGAGCTGACATCAGTCTTTGGGGTGGTGGGAGGAGTGGGGGGCCCCTGGGAGCCTGGAAATTACATTAAAAAATAATGACACATATTAGATAGACATATTTTGTACTTTTCAAACAAATCAATGTTTGAGTTTGGGTTGGAGAGTGAATTATAAAACCTTTTTTTTTTTTTTTTTTTTTTTTTAAGATTTTTGGATTCTCAGAAGGCATTCACAAAACCACTGGGTGAAATGTGTAACCACTGAGGGGACTGCTCACCTGAGTGCTCACCCGGGGAGTGCACCTCTCCCATGCTGGAGGCTGGGGAGTCCGCCTGCTGCAGGGCTTTGAAGATGGCATTGGGGGAAATGTGCGTCTGCTCGCTGCCGTCCTCCGGCTCGCTCTGTCCGTTCTTCACCGACTTCCTGCGCCGGGGCTGGTATTTGTAGTCCGGGTGATCCTTCTTGTGCTGCACCCGGAGCCGCTCAGCCTCCTCCACAAACGGCCGCTTCTCCCCTTCGTTGAGAAGTCTGTGCGTAAAGAGTTCCATTAATGTACTGTACACATATTCTTCACAGCAGGCTACTTTAAAAAGGCAGTTTCAAAACAAGTGATAAATAAATAAAGGGTTTAATCAATAAAAATCGAAGAGTTGTGCTGTTCAAACACGAATATGAAAAATACTTTTAAGGAAAGGTTCGGTTTTACTCGTTTATTATTCCGCGTACATTCCATCCTAAATCTGTGCTTAAAAGCTGGAAAGCAGCGCGTTCACACTTACCTCCAGAGTTTCCCCAGAGTTTTGCTGAGCTCCGCGTTATGCAGGTGTGGGTACTGATCCGCCAGCTTCCTCCGCGCAGCCTGAGCCCAAACCATGAAGGCATTCATCGGTCTCTTAACGTGAGGCTTGTTCTTGGTAGATCCGTTAACGCGCACCGGCATAGGCACCAGGGTCCAGTCGTAGCCCTTGAGCACCTGGGACACAGCCTCGCGGATGCAAGCGGGAAACTTATCGTCCTCGTCCTTCTTGAAGTCGGCCAGGGTCCCGTCCGCTCTGAGGAGCCCGTTCTCCGTCGGCCGGGTGTTCTCGGTGTCGGAGCCCGAGCCGGACGGGCACGGAGAGCCCGCGGAGTCCTCGGACATACTCGGGCTCGGGGCATCAGAGAGACACTTGTCTTGTTCCTCCGTCATCTTCAGGTAAGGGTCGAGGAGATTCATACGAAAAACTGTTTGGTGCCAAATTACGCGTGAAACGGGGTAGTTATGAATGTGCTCTCGCGAGAGGAAAAGCCAGTGAAAGTGACTTTACCTTGCCAGGATGAGTTTGGGTAAAGTCTTTCTGAGAGAACTGCACAAAAAACGGCAGCTGCTTCTCGCCTTCTCTCTCTCTCTCTCTGCTCCGGTGCGTAAAACCGATTTGGAGAGTGGAGTGTCTTTACGCACGAGCTTCTGTCAGACTCCCGGGATTGAGTGCGTTCTCTGCAAACGGATCCGCACTTGAAATGGCAAAAACAAGCCAGCTGGTGAGAGTTTGCTTTCAACTCTGCAGGATGAAACGGTAAAATGCTCCTTTCTAGTCTCCAAGTACAATCCCCAGAACGCGTGAGTGCTTTGAACTGCAAACGTTTTGCATGCGGGCTTATAACAGCGTTACCATGCAGCACAGGAAAGCCCGCACCTGATTGGCTGGCAACATGTGACGCCAAAGTAAAGGAATTTGATCCCATTTTTCCCCCTCCTAACCAGCGCGCACACACACACACACACACACACACACACTGCTCTCCAGCCAGTATATACAATATGCTGTTTAATTCTGCTGTATTTTCCTATAGATAATGTCAAAGCTGTGCAGGGAAAGAGTGATTTTGGAATATTGGAATATTTATACACTCTGACCAAAAGTGATCTTTTTTATTATGGAGGAAAAACGTTGAAATAGAAATAAATTCACTGCCAAGAGAATGTGGCAAATAAAAGATCCGACCACATGAAAGATTAGCAGTAAAAAAATGTGTCATTTATTACATTTATCCTCCTCAACAGAAAGTTTCTATTTCTACTTTAAAACATGTTGTGTCTTTCTCCACACTGGTCCCACACTTACAGGTACATAAACTTGTCAATAGGGGGAGACAACAGTCTGGAAACCCAGCAAACCTGCCTCCCTCACCTCTGGCTCTGAGCAGGAGCAGAGGGAGGAGGAGGATGAGGAGGAGGAGGAGGAGGAGGAGGAGGGTCAGGGAGCTCCAGCAGACTGCTGCGGTGCAACAGTTGCTGTCAGACATCAGCTTCTGATTTGTATCGCTCATCTCATTTCCAACAACAGAAGCAATAATCCAGGCGAACGGCAGATTCTGTTCAATTCGCTGACTGCTCAGCATCTGGCCTCACCTTTCTACCAAATGTTCCTCATAAAATGTTCTCACTTTTCAGACTTGTCTTGGACTCTTTTTTATAACTTTATATCCATTTTGGAATTATACAGATATTTGAAACTGTACTCCCAATATGCCTGCAAAACTGGCACACCCAGTCTGTTAATATGCTTTTCATTTATCCGCAAAGGTTGTGCTTTATCTGGTATCAGTTTAAAGGGAACATTAGTTTAATTTTCTACTTTTCTACAAATCATTTTGGAAACGAACACCTCTCATTTTTTGCTGTTTTGTCTGCCACTGCTGAAAGAAGTATTCCGATCCTTCACTTGAGTAAAAGTACCAGTACAACAATATAGAAATACTCGTATACTTCAATCTTAATCTCAAAGTACAGTATTATTAGCAAAATATACTTTAAGTATGAAAAATAAACAGGTAAATTATCATTATGCATCAGAATGACCCCTTTCAGAGAATATGATATTATATTTACTAATGCATTCATATGTAAGAAGCATTTTTAATGTGGTAGCTGGTCCAAACCCAGCTATTTTAACAACTCTGCATAAAGCTGGACAGTCAAAGTCGTAGGAAAACACACATTTTATAAATTGATCACATGTTTTAAATATAAAACCTTAACCTGGAGTGTAAGCAGTGGGACTAACTATTAACACAGTGGAATGAAAAGTAACATTTCCCTTTGAAATGTAAAGGAGCAGAAGAAGAAAGTTGCAGAAAATAGAAAAAAATCAAGTAAAATACATCAAAATTATACCACTGCTGTCAACTGTATCAGTGTTTGTCATCTGCGGGTGATTTTAGTGATTTCAGAAATCCTCCATGAACACACACACACACACACACACACACACACACTCTCTTTGTCCTTTCTCTTCAGCCAAACACAGTGCGTCTCTCCGGCCGGGGGTAACACGAGGTGCTCTGCTGTGGTCACTGATGGTAACCTGCCTGCACACGCCCCCTTTGATTGTTTATTATGCTTTGTGGAGATGTGGAAATGTAAATCTCAGTTCAGGCTAATGTGGACAACATGTGCTACCTGAAGTCGCTTTTAATAGCTCACAGATGTCAGGTAGAGCTAATTTCACCGCCGCTCACCCCGTCCCAGCGTAAGCTGCACAGTACAGACACCAAAAGCCACAGATACAAATCTTAATTTTTTTTCTTTTTCTTTCTCTCTCTTTCTCTGTGTTTAAAAGAGAGTATGACTCTGTCTGTCTCTGGGTGCTGTAATGTTGCTATGTTTCTTGTTTGCATTCAGTCCGACTGCTCAAGCTCTGAATCACTCAGTAATTCTTTCGCTCCCTCACCAATTAGGCCTGTGGTTCCAAAACACTAAAGCCTAACATCGCCGACTCCTTCGCTCCCCTGCAAGTTTATTTACACGAGACATGCTTATTTAAGATACTCACTTTGAACACAAATAGAAGGGAGCAGTTTGGCTCTGCGTTAATAGCTCGTGGGACGTCGCTGCGGTCGCATGCGCGCTGCGTGCCTTTACACAAGGCCACTAAAAAAAAACGCAACTGTTGTTTGCTTGTAGAGCAACACAGGCGTGAACGCATTGACTCACAGCCGTGGCACGGGTGGAAAACACAGCGTCGCTATTGACCGAGCAAATATGGCTAATAGAGGTCTGACAAGAAGAAGGAGGGAGGATGAGATGGGTGGGGGGGTGGGGGGGGGTGACTGGAAGCAGAAGCATGATAGTAATAATAAGAAAAACAAGACAATTAGTTAGAAAACAAAAGGCTTTGAGTGATCCCTGTCCTTGTACATCAGCGGTGAAGAGCAGCTGCTCAGCCGTCACTGCATTCCTCAAACAGACATGTAAATACACACAGTAGATATGAACTCCACGCCCACGTGACATCTTGTCAAAAATGTAAGAAAACGGCAAAAAATGAAAAAAACAAACAAATCTAACACTAACATATGGTTGAACACACCCCTCCTCCCCCTCCTCCCCCACATGTCACACAGGAAAGTTAGACTCTAAGAAAATTATTCCTATGACAACTGTTGGACAGTAAATTCAGTTTGCTCAACTCTCCAAAGTGAATATTTCACTTCAGATCTGGAACTTTTTCACAAACCGTCTTCCTTGAATCGACCGCTTTTAAACCAAACAAACACGTTTTAAATGTGTAGGACAGCGCAGCTTGTTCGGAGATCTGTCTGTGGTTTCGAAGCCACTGCGGGATGATGGTGTCGTCCATTCTGGGCTCTTTTAGGTGGCCAAAGACGGTGAGTGCGGCCGGCAAGCCGGCAGGCCGGCCGGCAGGGCGAGGCCTTGGGAAACTTCTCATCTTGACTTGGAGCTACAGCGTAAAAAATCTGAGCAAACAGTGGGAGTCAACTGCTAAACTCTTGTCTGCTTTTCTTTCGGGAGTCCCATCGGCACTGCTTTGCATTTCTTGGCTTCATATAGGGGTAAGAAATGTGTATCCAGATTTCTAATATGCATTATAATGTAAAGGGGGAACATTTGACACTTTAAACATGATAATTTACTTGGTACTGTGATATAATGACCACAACCCGGAGAGTGAGTAGAATCCGTCTGAAGACACATGTCACACAAATCTCGCTGTTTTCTGTCAGAGACGATGCTGCGTTCAAACACTGTCAGGAGAAAGCGGAAGAACTCGAGAATCTCATAGTAATCCAAAGAGATTGTGTTTACGTATTAATTCAAGATGGTACTCTCACTGCTAACTTGCCGCACCACTATTAACACTTACCTGCCCCTGATCCATTTGTTCAATATTCTTTACAACCCACTAAATACAGCGAACTCTTCGCTCTGAAGCTCGGCACCAAGTGATTATTGGTGACTTAAATGTGTTTGGACCATAATGACCGTATGAATCAACAGCAGAGAAGAGGATTAGGCCTTGCCTTTGGATTCTGTTAAGCCTGTAGTACACCCAGCGAGTATCTAATACTCATGACATCTAATATTAGTATCTAATACTCACTGCATGTTGTATTTTCAGTGGAGTATTTCTTTAATGACTTAAGAAAAGTGAGCTATTTAAGTGTTTGTTGTAGCTTAGTTCCATACCTGTCAATCTATAGCCACATCTTGACTGTCTTCCCATCGTTAAAAAATATAAAAAATAAAAAAAATAAAAAATGAATATGTGATTTTGGGTGGATCTTGTATCAAACAAACATATTTACATGTTTTGGTACGTCTGGAGAATGGCTGGGATGTCTCTGTAGCACCACAACGCTTATGGTGTTAACAACACTTCCATTATTTGTTCAACCCTAAAACAAACCCGTATGTCATTTGTACAAGAAACTCATCAAGACCCACAGTTGCGTTTTATTGCTGAGCGGCATCTAGCAGTTGTGTGAGACAGCATTAGATCTTTGCAGCAAATACCCTCAAGCAACATGTTTACGTCCAAGTGACAAAGCCCTCTAGTGGCTGTAGTGATCCTGACGAGAGCAAAGGAGGAAGTCACACGATGTTTTTATAGAGCGGCATAGTCGGCCAGCAGTGGAGGTCTGGGTGGATGGATGGTTCGACAAGACAGTGGACTTTTAACACGGGAAGCCGATCAATCATATAACCATAACCATGTTTTTTATTATTGTAACCATGACAACGGAAGTCCACGTACCTCAAGAAAATACTCATTTTAACCCAAACCATGATCTTCCCTTAAACCTAAGTTGTTTTTGTGACTCAGTATAACCAAACTTCTACCAGAGCATTGTCACATCATAAAAAGGGTTGGTTGTTTATTTTTGAACAGTTTATCTGTAGCGTGTATCCTGCCGCCAGAGCCTCGCAGGCGGCTGTAAGAATAGTGGTGTCATCTTCTTCCTGTGCCTCAGCCGGAGAGAAAAAAGCCACACCAATGAAAAAGAGTGAGAAAGGTGTTTTTTTTTTTTTATTGTTGTGAAACTACCACAGCTTTGTGTGTTGAATGAAAAGGATGATTATGTGACCCACCCGACCTTTAGCTTGTGGCAGTTGTGGCCAGTTGTGGCAGTAAGAATAGGAGAGGATCAGAGGTATTCAAATACCAACGCGATGGAGAGAATCTGAGGGAAGCATCTCATCTCTTGGTGCCTGCGGCCGGCAGGTAGGTGTGATGTGCCGTTC